TTTTTTTTTTTTTTTTTTTTTTTTACAAGCATCCTTTGCTATCCGACACCTAATTCTGATATCCTTTTACTCTGTAAACTCTCTGATCAGTTTATTGTAATACTGTTTCAGTTTTTCATTGCATTTACCTTCCGAGAGGCAGTGTTGTGGTAAAGAGATGTGATAGGGATTATAGTGTATATTTGTCCGGGTTTTGCAGGTGCATGTCCACCTCGGACACCGGAGAGTCCAGGACCGTCATTGTCAAATCCCTACAATCACCATCAATTGTCCTATTTTCATCATCCTCACTCTCACCATTCGCTTCCGGTGTCCTCCATCCATCGGAATCCCGCTCACGCTCCATCTTTACCTTCTCATCCTCACTATCGACCTCCTCCTCACTCCAGTAAGTCTCATGTTCGATTTTTATTTTTACGCCCTGTATCTTATTGAGGCAAGAGAAGGAAGGGGAGGCACTTGAGCGACTTTTTAGGAATGACGAAGGTCAAGGAAAGGCCTTGAAATACGCGGAAGTCTCTACAAAAAAAAGGGAAAGGGGAGGGGAATGATTATTGATGATGATGTGAAGAAGAGAGAACCTCCCTCGCTCGCCCGGTTTCTGTAGATATTCAGAAAAGGAGAGGAGGTGAGGCGGCAAGGCCCTGTCAGACATGAAGCGGTTCTTCAACCCCCTTCCATCATCTTATCCCTTTCCCTCCTTTTTCCTAGTGGGGAAACAAGGGGGATAGTCCTAATGAGCTGAGGAGAAAAGATGGGGTTTGTGGTGTTGATGGTCGAGAAGGGAGAGAAAGATTATTTTCCAAGGACAATTCTGTCAGTTCCCCGCGCCCAGACGAGATGATTGGGAAGATCAAAGATGAAGATGATCTGTTTACCGTTTGTGTGAGTGTGTGGGGGGGGATATATGATGTAAACACATGTGACCCCTCCTTCGATGACCCTTCGCATATTCCTTCCTTCCTTTCCACTTCCTCTCTCTTTATCTACCCAAGAAGAAGCAAACAACAATTTTCACCTCATCAACTCCTCTTTCTCGCAAACATGGGCACCTCATTTCCTCTTTCCTTCGTCTCGTCATCGCCTCGGGGTTATTTTTTTCTGGCCATGTTTCCCTCGGGTGATCTGAGAGATCCCCTGGAAAATCCCTGCAGGGTGCCTCGTTATGCCCTAATTGGGAGTGTGAATGTGAAAGTGAAGGGGGATATGGAGGTCAAGTGTAGCGGAAAGGATGACAATGGAAGATGGCCTTGAGGGTGTCATCGAACCGGGGATATCTATGTATCGAAGGGGGGAAGGGAGGGAAAGAGAAAAGAAGAATAAAAAAGAGAGAAAGAGGATGTAGAGAAGTAGGCAGGTTTCCTTCCCTACAGGCCGAGAGACCATAACGGAAGAGGGGGAGGGGAGGAAAAGGAGTCTGATCCAATCCCAACGCAAGAGGGGAGCACACCTGTGTGCTTGCCTGGCATGGCCAGTCTTTTTTTATTTTAATGCCCTCGGGGGTCTGACAGAGAGAGAGGGAGAGAGACGCTCATGGGGTTGAGTGGCCAATCAAGGCCATGGCTCTCATCCCCTTCTGCTTCTCGCGCCCGCCCTTCGTTCCATCCATTCTTGATATGGGGAAAATTCCTGCCATGCTACAGGAAGTCCTATTTTTGGACCGAACCGGGAATAAGAAAGAGGGAAAAAAAAGAGCTGCCTGTGGGGAAAGAGAAGGTTGACGTCAGGATTTGACGTCATTTTCCCCAGGCTGATCGATCCTCTCTCCCAGTCTTTTCCTTCCCTTTTCCTGGTTCCTTTTCCCTTCCCCCTTCCTTGAGAGGGAGAGAGACCCCCGTCGGTTGACGTCACGGAGAGAAGTGTGACGTGGGTCTCTTCGATCCCTCTTTCCGTTCCCCTTCATACCTGGTCCCGGCTGGAAAAGCTTTTTCCCCTCTCATTCCCACAATGGGACATCAGACATGACATGGGACCAAGGAAGCGTATCTCCTCGTTTCTTCACCTTCACCTTCTTCCCTCTTCCTTTCTTCTTTTCTCCCTCCTTCCTTTGCCTCTGACCTGTGACCAGAGAAGGAAAGGAGAGCGTGAGAGCCTTAACGAAGAAGCCACATGTCACATGTGCAACTTTCAACCACTTGCCTCATATTCATTCCTTCCTTTGTGTCTTTGTCGTCTCAGGAAGGAGGTCATCCTCGTCATTTCCTGTAACAATGATGCACGGATACGAAGGCGGACAATCCTTTCAATTCCGAAAGTCTTCGCTTTCCCCCAGGGGAAGAATAAAAAAAAATCGAGGTTTCTAATTAGCGTCCTACGGATTAATTCAGAGAAGGCAAAAAAAATTAGCGCCGAATAGGCGATGTTGTAGGACAGCGGTTCCCAACCTACGGGTCGTGACCTACTCCTGGGTTTTGGTTTGGGTCGCATTGGGTCCAGGACCAGGACATAAGATTCAAAGGCCATATGTGGTGTTTTTCTTTCGCCTTTGATTTTTTGTGGTTTGCATTTATCCTCATGGATCATTGTGTTCAATAAGCAACATATGAGTGGGTTACTGTCGAAAAGTTTGGGAGCTTTTGCTTTTTTAAATATAGAACTAGGCTAGGGAAGAGGCGAATGGCCAACGATTGAGATTGTATCATAGGGATGGGAAGAGAGGGGAGGAAAGGGGGAAAGAGGAATGATGAGAGGGGGGGGGGTCAAGGCTAACCGATGGGGGCATGGGCATGAGCCGTGAGCATAGCCCTAGTTGTGGACGGGACTGGACTGACTGGGACTGGTGGAAGGTGGCTGTTGGTTGGTTGGTCGTGGTGGTGGGTTCATGCCTCCCTCGTCTGGGGAAGGGGGGACGGACGGACTGGGTTCGTTGCCTCGCCCCCGTCCAAGGCCACCTGTTCCCCCCGGCCATCCCTCTCCCTTTTCTACCCTACCCTACCTCTTCCTACCCCCCTCCCCCCTTTTTTCTCCTACTCAATCGCCGCTTCCTTTCATAACCAATATCGAGGAACGAATAAGGAATCTACATTGGGGAGATGGATGCTGTTAGTCAGTTCCATGAAGTGCTATTGCACCTACACTCTCAATATAAAGTCGTAACTAGAGGGCGAGTGACCGTTACGGGTGGTCGTAAATAAATGATCAGGGTTGTCATTGAAGAAGGTCATAAGAGCATAAGAGGCGCTGAGTAATCCAAGAGCAAGGTGCCTCCTCTTCGTCCTCCGGTTAATGTACCACAATTCATTATGAGGTTATGATGACTTCCGGGAATGAAAGATGCAGATCATTCTGTAAGCCTATGTCTTTGTGCGTTTTACGGGGATTTAATGCTTTGTTTTTCCTTGTCCTTCCCTCAGTGAGTGACCTCTATGGTTATTCGCCTGGAGGAGGAGGAGGGGGAGGTGGGGGGAGCTGCAGCAGCCCTGGTATCAACACAAATGGGAGCATGAGCCCGATGACCCCCGACTTATTTCCTCATCTGGGTGGGGGCGGAAATGGAGCTGGAGGTGGGACGGCACGGTTCCCACCGTTTCCCGGTGGAGGAACGGGAAGTGGGCCAGGAGGCCCAGGCTCGGGCCAGGGCTCTTGTCCAGGGGATGCATTCAGACCAAGGAAAAAGGGTCGTCGAGCACGGGTCTCAGATCCGAGCGGATTGACCTCCCTCGGATCCGCATCCCCCGGTGGAGGTGGGGGTGGTGGTTGTCACTCCTCATCACCTTTGAAGCGGAAGAGTCGCGAGGGATCTACTACCTATCTCTGGGAATTCCTGCTCAAGCTCCTTCAAGACAAAGACTGCTGTCCGCGTTATATCAAGTGGACGAATCGGGAAAAGGGAATCTTCAAGTTGGTCGACTCCAAAGCCGTCTCTCGCCTCTGGGGTCTCCACAAGAACAAACCTGACATGAATTACGAGACCATGGGACGAGCCCTCAGGTCGGTCTCATGTCTGGCTTCCGCTTTACTGTCTCTCACTCGTCCAACTTCAAAGTGTTCATATCTGGTCTTCTTGCTTTGCAGGTATTATTACCAGCGAGGGATCCTGGCCAAAGTGGATGGACAGAGACTCGTTTACCAGTTTGTGGATGTGCCCAAAGACATAGTGGAAATTGATTGTTCTGGGGCGTGAGATGGACTGGGACTCCATCTGGATCTCATGTCACAATATGTCACACATCTCTCTCCATTCTCTCCCACAGAAGGAAGGAAGGAAGGGAGAGACTAGGAAACTACCTGTCTCTTCCGCCGAATCCAGCGACATTCTCTCATCCATTCCTCTCCTTGTCTGTGTCTGTCTTTGTCATTTGACTGTATTTTTCCCCCCCCATTCTCCCTCCCGGTGTGCCTTCTTCAGGTTCAGTCTCCCCTTCCTGCTCTTTCTAATGTTGGCATGGTTGGAGAATGAGATAGAAAAAAAGGGGTCATTTCCATGAAAGGTATCTCCCCCACATGGCCGTCCTGCTGTCCCATTGATCTCCATGAAGAGTTTTTCATTTTCCGTTTCTTGGGTTTTTTTTTTCCTGTTACCCCCAGAGTGGAGTTGGAGAAGACAAACCCCCCATTTATAGTTCTGTGTTTGATTGTGAGATGTCAACTTGGATGTTATTTTTTTTCTCTTTGTGAGGGCTGATTTGCATGAAGTCTTTTTTTTTTCAACCAGTGACCATTTGTGGGACCAGTGGGAGTCAAAAACTCACACATTCTCATCTCTTTCTACTGCTTTTTATTTTCCTCCTTTCTATTTCTTTTTGCTCAGGAAAATTTCACTTTCTCCGTCAGTCTCATTTTTTATGTTGAAAATTTTTATTTCTTCTGATGAGAAGCAAGCGAGGATCTCAAGGAAAACAGAGAGGTGCCTCAACGGCGAAACCAGGGCCGTATTTATTTGGGACCTCTCAAGCATGACTTCTACTGCCTTCTTGTGTTCGCCTCATCACAAACAATCCTGTGAACCTTTATGTTTTTCATACTCCCTGGATTTTTCCCCCTATTTATTTATAATGTGGTGTTCACTTTTTCTTGAGAAGCACATTCTTCCTTCTTGTTCTTTTCTTCTCTCTGTCCCTATCTCAATACTGTTCCTTTTTGTTTCCCTGTTGGTCTGCATTGTGACCTAAGAGAGAGAAGAAAAAAAGGGAAAAAAGAGAATCGTCAGATGAGAGAGTAAAGTTAAGAAGGCTGTGAGGGATTTTTTTTCCAAGAAACGGAGATGTGATATTTCCAGCCTTTGTCCGTTTTTTCTTCCACCGAGAAAGAGGAGATTCGGCTCTGTATTTTGGAAGGAGAACTTTGGTAGAAAGGACTTTTTGGCTGGATCATTCTCTGTATTTTTCTCTCTCTATGAGTCACTTCACTTGTTCTACCCATGTGGATGTAAAGAGAGGAAAGAAAATGCATTTGGGGTTATTTTTCCATAGAAGAAACAAGAAAGTCACACTCGTGTAAAGAAAGAGGAAACAGGACACAGAGAGAGAGAGAGAGAGATATACTCGAAAAGGGACGGATGTTCTTTTTTTTTTTAAGCCCATGAAAGAATTGAGAGAGTTTTATGAATTGACCAATAAAGTTGGACACTGTTTCCCCCACTCCGTGGCTTTCGTTCTCATTTCATCTCGCAATTGTCCCATGAGATTGGACTGAAACCGAGGAAAAGCCACTCGACCCCGATATAGAGTGAGCAGACTTGACTGCAATAACCAGAAAAGAAATTTGGAAAAAGCATGACCCCATCCCGAGAGCTTAATCCATTAAATATATTATCAACGAATATTAGCATTTTTACGCCACCTGGTTTCATCAGTTACCGTACCATATAGGTTTATGAAACGTGGGCGCTGCATGAATGGACTACATGGGAAACGGGACAGGTATTGCACGAAAAGGATACCTAGACCGGTTCACGCTTTGTGATAAGATCTTGCCTTCATGGATTACGGCGTGAATCACTTTCACAACCCTTTGAAAGCTTTCATGAATTCCTCATCAGCGTCCGTCCGTGCGGATGAGGAGGATCTAATGATGCGATGCGTCGCACAAATCCCCTCCGGTCTCGTATAATTACCCCCCCCCCCCCCTCCAAAAAAAAAAGGCTGCAAAGGATGAAGTGAAACGAAATAAATTTGGAAGTGAATGTAGTCTGGTGCCAACGTCAGGCACCACAGCTGACTCTCGCCTCTTCTGGAAGTACCAGGGAAGGAGCAGAGCTGTCTCAAAAGAAAAAGCCAGACAAAATCGGCTTGACAGGTCTCGGATTTAGATGATGATATTCCATAGATGATATCCCAGAAAGATGATATTCATAGGTCACGATGCCAACCTTGACAATATACACTGACCAAACCACGAGCTCAAGAAGTGCACTTGCTTTTTTAATTTTATTTTTCAAGGAATTATGATGGGTCTCAGCCTTGAGCTCCATGTGACATAGGAAGACACGCACTATTGTTTTATTGAATTTATTTTAAGGAACTTCCTCAAACTCATTTTTCCTCCCTAACTCATTCTAATGACCCCAGAGAATATGACAGTTCCTCCCCCTCTCCCCGGAAGAAAGAACCCAGAGACGAATAAATATAAAGCTCAAGTACAAAGCAAGATCTCGAATCGTTCCGATTCCCTGGCAGACGAGAAAAGAGCTTAAATTCGCAGCACGACCCAACCGAATCTGAGAATTCGACAATCGGCATCGAGTTCTCAATTCACCCGGTCTAATTTCTAATTTAAATCCGACGTTATCATGGAAACTCAAAGCATCAAATGCGTTAAGCGTTCTCATGGCGTTAAGCACGTAACGTAATCCAGGATTCATGGCTAGACCAAGAAAACAAATAACAGCCAAAAATCGTCTTGATTAATTTTTAGTTGGGGTATCTCCTCTTTGGTTTCTACTTTAAGCAGTTTTGGTGTTTCTTTTTTATCTCTCCCTTATCGTAAAACCGGTCTTTCCAGCATCGCATCTTTGAACGATCGTCACTAACGATACTAATGATCCTCTAGATAATAAGGAGATAATAAACTGATAATAAGTGTATTCGACATTAGAAAACTCGAACTGAAAATAATACTTAAGTTATTTTGGAAGTGGAGATTCGGGTCCTGTTCGTTCGGTTACCCCAGCGGTGCCTAATTCGAATTCAACTCAGTGACCAGGGCCAGCTCGAAATTAATCACCTCGTGAGGCAACCCCGTGAGCCTCCAAGTGAGGCAACCCCGTGAGGCAACCTCGCGAGCCTCCAAATGAGGCAGCCCGCATTTCCTCGCGATCGAGTGGTGCCAGCGGAATTTAATTACTCGGGACATGACATGATTGACCGGTCATTTGGACCAGAAGTTGGTGGAAGCAACGCGCGATGCAACGCACGAGTCGTAACCGGCAACTCTTTTTAGGTTTGTAAGAATCGCGTGGGGTCTTGAAAGGCTCGGAGAAGACTTTGGGTCGAATGGAACCGTTTCTTCGGTTCGCGGCGAAAAGGTGCGTTTGTGGGGACGATGCGAAATTTGCTGACGTGATGACGAGAAAAGGCTGGATTGACGTGGCCTTCCTCTTTCCTGCATTTCGACCTATCGGCATTTCTGACTTTCGTCTGCCCTCGGGAAATCAGGAATTGCAGGGTGAATGACGAGGCCTTTTGCTGGAAAATATTTTAGGGAGAAATTTCCTCGTGAAGTCTCTCCGGCAAATTCCTGATCGCGTCCGTGTTCAAGGACGAGGACGGAGGCAGAAATCAACTCGCTTTCATCGAAAACAAGATCGGTCGAGTTTGATGATAAATAAATAAAGTAAAAATGAGAGAAGATACGCACTTTCCGTCGCGTCACGGTCACGGCATGCCTTCGGAACGCGACACGATTCTATGAGAATCGATGAGATGCGGGTCCAGATGGCGATCTCGTCGTCGATGCGCCGACGCGAGGTCTCATTCCCACAGATGCATCCTCGTGTTTCGTGTCCCGTTTTTTAACTGGGCCTCGAACGCGCGTTTCTCTTTCACCCGACGTCGGATGAGGAGTCGGCGTGTGTCTTCCATGCCTCGAGCCAGGCAGCCAGGCGCGCGGTCCGAGGCTCTTCGAGTATCTTGCTTCGTTCTGGCGCTGTCTTCGGTGGCTGCTTTGCTCGTGCCGCCTCTCGTCTGAGGACCCACATCCTCCTCCTTGGAGTTTGTCTCTCTTGCTGGGGGGAGAAGGGAGGAGGGGGGGAGGGGGAAGGGGGGAGGTGGAAGGGGGGAGGAGGAGGGGGGAGGGGGTGGCGAGAGAAACGCTGGAAGGGACGGGTGTCGCCAACCTTTGCCGACTCGATGCCGCAGTTGGAACCGTCCTGCAGCGAACGCTGCGGAAGGGACGAAAGCGTCTGCTGTCAGTTCTTTTGTCGCCGTGACCAGTAAAGAAAGTGAGTGGTAACGAGTGGGAACGGCATTCCCAGACTTTTTTCGCTGTGGGAATGGCGTTCCCGAATGCTCTTCACGAGCGGGAACATCGTTCCCATGCTCCATGGAAGAAATTGCCGAAGCAAGCAATTGCCCAAGCAGGCTTCTGCAATCCACGAAAATCCACTCTTTGTATATTGTGACGGTTGAACGATTAAAAAAAAAAGACGTTTTTATCGTTCCCATGCTTCTCTGGGTCGAATTTGATTGCTGGTCGCGATAATTTCGGATGACCTTGGTAACGTCGCTTCCTTCCGCCTCCTCTTTCGCCCCTCTTTTATTCGTTTCTCATTCGCATCCGGTCTGCTTCTGCCGCTTCTCTGCCCTCATTCGCCGCTTTCGACCGGCGGATACCGTTGGACACCGTCTGTCCGTGCCGTGGAACGATCGTTTCTCGCATTCGGACATCTGTTTGAAAACGATGGCATGCCCAATTTGTCTGGCTTGTCGCGTGGAAAAACACGCTCCGTATTTGATTACGATTTAAAAAAAAAAATTATTTTGGCCAAGGAGCCTCCTTTCCCGGCTTTTCGTGCTATTTGTTTATTATCGGATCAATAATTCGAAATTAATTTTAATCCTTGAAAAAAGCACAGATCCAAAGATATGAATCACATCGGTTCAAGTTGGTTTAGCGAAGCCGAAAAAAAAGTTTAATTTTCCAAATTTCGAGACTGGCATTAACCCCGGTTTTTCGTTGGTACCTGGCACATGGACGGATTCAAAACAACTTGCGTGAAATCACCAGATGTCAAATTCCTTTATTTTCCGCAGTGAAATCGTGAAGACGTTTTAACTTCGCTTCACTGAGCTTTCCCCAGTGACGCAGACGGACCTCGGTCGGACTCAGAGAGACACAAAGGGTCTTCGCTCATTAACGCCTTCATTCATTTATTATGCGCCTCCAGGAGAGGAACTACACATGCATTTTTTTTTTCCCCAGTCGAAATGAAAGACTCGAAGCCGTTGAAGGACGGCCGAAATCCGAGGCACTCACTCCTCTCACTTCACTCTCTCCTCTCACTCCACTCACTTTACTCACTCCTCTCACTCCACTCACTCTCTTCTCTGGCATTCCCAGGCAACCGACGACAGACGATCTCTCAATCACACTGCTCAAGTTGAAGGCAGGGAGCCAGAAATCTCGCCCGACCCCGTGCAACCCTGACTCACCCCAACTATTTTCTCCTTTTTTTTCCCACCGATCGTCGCAAGCGATGATGGACGACCCAGTTCCACCTGTTTTTGTTTTTTAGTTTTTTTTTTCTTCTCATCTTTGCAGTAACTTTGCAGGAAACACGGCACACGGCCTCTTGGAAGGTTTCGCGGTCTTTCTTCGAGTCCCATTTTCCCTCGTCCTCGTAGGCCTTCGTGTTTTCGCCTTTGGAGCACCCGACACAGCACACAAACGGCGCTAGAGGACGCCGCTCATCGTTCCAGACCGTTGACGCTTCTTTCGAAATCGACGTAATTCCTCGTTTGAAACTTCTCTCGGGGAATTTCATGCTATGTTCATCTTCCTGATGCTTTTCGACGCGGCCAGCACGACAAAATATAAAAGACTCAATTTAAATCTCGTTATACTCTTAAACGGGGACAGTTCGTTTCTGCGATTTTTTTTTCTCCATCCATACAAGGAAAGCATGAAGTTTCGTCTGGCGTGCTCCTCAAACCCACAGAAGCAGAAAGCATTCCGAGCACCGAAAATCGATCAATCTCAGTGCACTAATGAGGGACGAGCCACCAGCGACGATGCGGGCGCTTGGTCGCTGCTCCCCTCTGCCGGTGCGAGTCGGAAGCTCCGTTTGTCCTCTTGGTCTCGCAGAGAGCGCCCTGAAAGCCCGCTCAGTGCGAGGCTGGTCGCCTTCCCGCTCGGAGCGACGCTGGTCCCGGCGGCGGAAGGTCTGACGAGAGTCGTTTCAGAAAGTGTTTCCGGGGGAAAGCTGCAACTCGAAGGAGCGCACGCAATCCGCTCGGCTTTCAAGGATGTGGGACGAAGCCATTAACGGGAGCGAAATTCGACGACTTTCGCATTTCAAATTCTATTGACAGGTGACAGGTATTGCAAAAAAAAGGCGAGTTTATGGAGGAGCAGTCACAATTGAAAATCGAAAGTCTTTACTCTTACATATCCAAATTTGTATCAATATGGTTCCTGGAGC